CATGACAATGAGTTGGCAACCTTTGTCATTGGACTTGGAAACTTGACTCTGATCAATATTTTTGGGGAAAATCCATCAGAAATGCAAGATATTCTCCAAATAGTTGTCCAAGCCTTTTTGAGGATGAAACAAGTAAAAATCTCCCCAAGTTGCCTCTTTGTTCATCAGAATGTGGGGGAAGTTACAGCTAAGGACCAAACTATGGAAGGACGAAGCCGCTTAGAGCAGAGACTAGATGAAATGGCAGCAACAGCAGCTGAGCAAGAACAGTGCTCAGGTGTAACTCACTTTAGTGATGTCATTAAGTTTGATGTCAATACTCATGTCTACTACTTCGCTCACCTCTGGGATGGCAATCCCCCAATGGCCCCTCCCAATCCTCGCTACAGCCACAACGTCCAGGAACTGAAAAATAGAATTCTTATGACTGCCAAACAGGAATCCAGGGGGAGCATCATGAAGATATTAGATGTAAAATTCCGAGTTCAAGATTTATGGAGAGCCCTGGTGAATGAGAACTTTATTTTCAGTTTCAAGAACACCCGAGAAGTCAGGGCTATGAGCAACTTGGAAGTTATGTATAACAGCTGGACCTGGGAGCTGAGGAGTCATGTGCTAGGCTTGCAGAACCAGCTGATCAACCAGGTTCAAAATGGAAAAATCCAGACTCTCAAACCAAGCACACTTGAGGCTCCAGTTGCAGAGAAATATGAAGCCATCAAGCAAGAACTTGAAAAATATTTTCATGAAGATCCAGAGAGTGAAATATTGATTCAGTGGAAAGCAAATTTTGAAAATAAGCTAATGATCCTTAAAGAAGCACTAACTTTAGACAGCCGAAGAAAGGTCGAGGGACTTATTAATTATAAAAAGAGTCAGGAAAGGCTGGATAATGAAAAGTCACGTTATGAAAAGGAATTATTGGAGAAAAGTCGAAAACTGGCATTAACTATAAAAGACAAGAAATTGAGTAATGAAGAGTTACGTAAGATATTCAATGAACTTTGGATAAAATGGGTCTATGCTGTGTCCTCAACTCTCCCTCCAGTCACAGAGCCAAACATTGATGTGGATTCTGAAGGCATACTTTTGGAATATTTTAAAAAGGAGAGAGACATGGTGAACATACTGAAGAAAAATTCTCAAAAAACATTTAAAATGAATTATGATGAGCATGTCAAGATGAGCAAGAAATATCTCATGTTTACAAAGCAATTAGAGGAACACGATAAAGAGTCCATAAAGAGGACCACTGAGCACATTATTTCAAGATTTACTGAAACTATTAAAAATATTGAGGGGCAGCAACATGATTACAATATAAGCTATTTCCATGAAATCCTGAAAATAATAGAAGAGGGGGTGAAATCTGCCCCCACTGAGGAAAGATACACATTTACAAGTAAATATAAAATTGACTTATCTTTGTGTTTATTCCGAAGAGCATCAGAGAATTTTAAGGAGATGCACAGGGCATTCAAAAGAGCAAATGATCCTGTACACTATCTGGAAAGCAAGAAAGATGATTTCTTCATGAGTTTTAAGATCTCTTGTCAAGGAACGACCTCAATCAAAACATTTGTTGATTTTTTGTGGAAGAAACTCATACCTGCTGTCTCTACCACCATATGGGAAAAAATGGCCCCTCAAATTGCTGGAGAAATGCGATCTACCTTCCCTGCATTCAATGGAAACAGAACTAACTTGGAGAAACACATTCTTATCTCTCTGGCAGAAAAAGAAAGTTTCAGTGATTACTGGGAGTACCTTCATAATTCACAATCATTTTTTAGAAATTACATTCAAAACCACATTCAAAGATATTGCTCATACAAAGAATGTGAAACAATGAAGACTTTTTCAAAAATAAGTTTAGATGACATCAAGAATGCCATCCTGTCAGCTATTCATAAATCCACTAAAATAGCTCAAGATAAAAGCAGCACTGTGTCTGGGTGGTTGGATTTGTTCTGTGATCACCTTGGAAGTAACTTGATCTTTCCAAGAAAAGACTTGATAAGCATTGAACACCAGGAGATAAAAGATATTGAGTTTCTCAAAGAAGCCATGACTGAAGCTTTGGATCCCGCAATGAAGATGGTAGAACAGATGTGTTTGAGTATGCCTGTAGAAAATATTGTTCCTAAAATCCAGAAAATGCTCTCTGCACAACTCTGTGGCTGCTGGAAACAGTGTCCCTTCTGCGGAGCAATTTGTACGAACACAATCCCCACACATGACGGAGACCACAGTGTTCCCTTCCACCGTCCTCAGTCTGTCAATGGATGGCGATGGCTTGGAACAGAAGACTTGATCATTGATTACTGTACTAGTTTGGTAGCAAGTGAGGATTATTTTATTTTGAGTGAGGGCCACAGATTCCCATATAAGAACTATCGACAGGCAGGAGGGGACTATGCCACGTGGAGCATCACCCCAGACTCATCCACCCAGCCCTACTGGAAATGGTTTGTCTGTCGCTTCAGATCAAACCTAGAAGAAAAATATCAGAAAAAATTTATAGGTAGAGGTAAAATCCCTGATCAATGGTTCAAAATCACAAAGCAGGATGTGTTTGATGACTTGAAGAAACAGTAATACTCAATGACCACAAGAGTAGAAGAATGGGAACCAAAGAATTGCAGTACCTGAAAAATCCTAGGTACCTCCTCCTCACAATGAGAACCTTCATTATTCTAATTTTTCAAATGAAACATCTGAAAATAAATCATTTAACATTGCCAGAGAAGATTTCCTGTTGAAAGGACTTCACTTTTCTTTGTCTCAATTCCTTCTGGTTTAAAACAAGTTACTAAGATATATCAACATATGATAAAAATAAAATTAAGATTCATAAAAATGCCTATTTTATAAACAATTATTCAGAATGTTTTGCTTTAAGTTATATACAGTCTCAGAAAAAGTCATTTTCATAGTGGAAAATCAAAATCATTGCAGCCTGCTACAAACTTCTATAGATTAACCATATGCTTATGTCAAACCAATATACAGTTCTTGGCTGGAAGCTACAAATTGCCTTTTTTTTAAGTTTATGTCTTTCACCCTCTGAAATTGTGAGGAAAGACACTAACCCTGGATTAGAAAAATATTCTTGGGAAGTTCATGCTTCCCAAGCACAGCGATATGTAGACATATTCTGTTCTGGGAAAGAATATAATAGACTTGACCAAGATAGAGCCTGCATCAACTCAGGAAACATTACCAAGCAAATACGGAAAATAGATATCAAATAACTGCTTTTTTCTCATTTAACCATCAACTTCTTCTTACCTGGCATCTTGGCATTTCCCTGTGCCTCTTTTTAAAAAATATATGGTTTATAAGCATTTGGGTATTCAGATCCTGGTGCTTTGTACAAATCAATGGGACTAGATTCTGAACAAGATTTAAGACAAAATGAAGAGGCAATTTTAATCATGGCTACAGACAAGGTCTGATTTCATTATGCCATTAATAATTTTGAAAACTATTCCTTCAAAAATAAAATATCAGAGTATACAGTTTTTAGGTTCTAATATTTCAATAAGAAATTCTTTTATGTATTAAAATGTAAAGAAATGCTTATCTCCAAAAAAATCACCTTGTGGCTTTTCATGCAATTTGAGCCATAGGAACACATTCAGAATGAAAATGAAAAACACTCTGAATACAACAAGACCTGAAATGGGAAAGAAATCACCGTTCTGCAATCCTACACCTTCTGAAACAATGATTTATAGGTTCTCAAAGCTGATGATCTAAAGGAATCCCAATACAAAGAAGAAAATGCCTTCATGGTGGACACAATGGCTTCTATTAACAGGCACACTCTCTACCCCACCATACCCAGCGAAAAACAGACAATCCCTGGAATAGCAGTCAAAACTTGGATCTACAGAGCTGGGAGGTAGGATTCTGCTATCTTTGTACCCTCAAAGGCCTTCCAGCAAACTCCCAGTTTGAGGTCAAATGACCCATGTCTCCAGAAGAAACCCTGGAACAGGAAAATTATAAAGGAAACAAGTGTTCTTGAACAGTATGGTTTCCATTCTGCTCTCTGGAAAATAGTCTCAGTAAGGGTTGAAAGTGTTAGGTAGAAGTTAGAAAATGTAGAAGGAGGAGGGATGGGAGAGGGTCAATAGTGCCTAACAGGAAAAGCCCATAAGTAGCTTTGATTAACTGACTATAGCCAGGTATTTTTTGACAACAACAGATGACAAGAGATGGTCTGGAGCAAGATAAGGATCACAGTCAACAGACCTCCACCCCTCTTAGGAGGTCGTGCCCTCCTGTGGAAGATCCTGTACCACCTTTTCTCACCAAATCAACCTGTAACTCCCTTACCTCACCCAGCAAGCTATAAATCCTCCGGGACTAGGGCTAGCTGGCTCTCTCTGGCTTGCTCACTCTCTTACCCACGCATACTCTCTCTCTGTCTCTGTGTCTCTCTCTGTGTCTGCCTCTCTCTCTCTGGCCCTCATGCCCTCTTGCCCATATGCACTCTCTCTCTCTCTCTCTCTCTCTCTCTCTCTCTCTCTCTCTCTCTCTGTCTCTCTCTGTCTCTGTCTCTCTCTGTCTCCTCTCTCTGTCTCTCTCCCTCTCTCTCTGGCNTGAGGAGATAGACTTCCTACTGAATGAAATGCAAACTGCCCAAGATAAATACCAGGAGCTCAAAACTATTTGCACCTACAGGGCTCAGGCATTCCTGGTACTCTTAAGTCTCACAGCTACAGTCGGAGTCACAGCTTTGTCTCCAGAGGACAAAACACAACGCTTGGCATTAATACGACATCACATGGGCCAATCTTTAACTGAAGAAATTGTACATGTCCTCAGCAAACTTGGAGCAGGTCATGATTGGGAAAACCTAGAAAAAGACTTGAGATTGCTCATTGATGGTAATTTTGAAGCCACCATCTCTTCACTGCAAATGGATGAGGTAAGAAAAAATTTGCAAAGCATCTTCCATGAAAAGGACCAGCCACATGAACCACATAATAATGAAAATAGCAAATTGGAAGTCATAGAAGATGGAGCCTTCCAAGAACTACTCCAGCGTTTAGGCCTAGAACATTACTACCCAAAAAGGATGAGTAGAGCTAACTTCCATCTGATCTACAAGGCCTCTGTGTACAACAGCCAACCCAGCTCTGAACAAGAGCTTCCCTTCTATTTCCTGCAGAAGCTACTGATGCTGGATTATGAGCTGAGATACCTGGTCTTCAGAGACGATGGAAACACACAGAATGAAGTCTATCCAAGTGCCTTGAATCAGGAAAAGAAGGCTTTTGATCCATATGAAGGCTTGTTTGAAGACCCTGACGCTCCCACTAATCCTTCAGCCACTAATCCTAGGCCCCATATTCATCCGATGGATATTCAGATGGCGATTCTTCACTGTGCAGACGATTTTGCCAGACAATATATTTTGGCCAAACTTGCCATTTGTCAGTTTGCCCTCCCCTTTCTCATACCTAATCCCTGCAGTTCTGAAATTGAATTCTCTCTCTGGTCTCTCCGTCAAATTAGAAGAAGCTGGCAGGAAGCCAGGAAATCACCAAAAGAGGACAAGAACAATTACAAGAATAAGCAGATGTGTTGTGTCTCTACCCCCGTTGTGTCCTTTATTAGAGTTGGAAATGGCTTCTCTGCTTCCAAATCTCAGATCATGAACTGTCTCCTCAGTAAACGTAAACATGACATTTTTTTTCACAGACATTGCAGAGGGAGCAGCAAAGACTGTCTCCTGATGGGGGGTGTGGTGGAAGTCTGCTGGTTCTGTCCTGGGGGGGAAGATGAGGAAAGATTTGACACCTGCTTGACCTTCACCAATCTTCACGGAGACGCAAAGGAACATGAGAAGCAACTCACCTTCCTGCAGGAGGTTTCTTCTCTCATTGTTGTCCTCATGTCAACTTCAGATGACAACAAAGAAAACCGAAAAATTGTCCGTGATCTCAGTCAGTCACCAAGACCTTTGATCTGTTTGCTTGATAACAAAGAAAAAACGATGGCCAATAACTCTAACCAGAAAGTGATCATTGGGATCAGAAACAGAAATGAGGGAGAATTAACAGAGGAGCTTATTACTACAATCAGACGTTTGCTACAGCTCTCAGACACTGTTCTGAGCATAGAGGACTGTTCCCACATTGCTCGCAAGCACGGATTCTTAATTGATGAAGACAAGAGAGAGTGCAAGGAAGCCAAAGAAAAGGCAGAGATCCTAATGGCCCTACTGAAAGAAACGAAGATATCCCAGGTGAAGGAAAACTTACTACCCCTTCAGGGACAACTGTGGCACCTGTGGTGTAAAAAGGACAAAGAACTCTATCACCTAAGAGAAAAGGGGAATCGGAGCATTGAACAACACAAGTGTGAGATTGAGACAGAAAAACAGAGAATACGACATGAACAGTTGACCAGAGCCTTTCCCCTCAATGATTTAATCCAATCTGTCCTTGAAATTCTCCAAACGCATTCAGAAACTCACACCACACTCTACTTTTTCCAATGGCTGGGTATGTTTTTGAACAACCTGACTGCAGGACACTTGGAAAAACTGAATGAAGAGAAAAAGTCTGTATGGACACTGATACAAACAGAAAAGCGAAAGGGACTAAATAGCAATAACCTGAAAGGTTGGCAAAATCAGGTAGAAGCTATCTCCATAGAGATTAGTGACTGTACCTTGGGAATTGAGCAACTTCTCAGAGAAGTTNCACTGGCTTCTGGACGGCCGCTCACTGCGGCTGCTGGCTGCTCACGCTGGCTGCTGGCTACACACAGTAGCCCATGGCAACCCACTGTCACAGGGGCTGCAGCCTACTCTATCGCCCGGCGACACACGGCAGCCCAGCTCCAGGTTGAGCTGTTGTTCAGCATCTTAGCTGTAGAGGGCAGTGTCACTGGCCTTCGTATGTGGGATCCGAACCAGGGCCCTCTGACATCCCAAGCCAGTTCTTAACCATTGCGCCACTTGGCCGGCCCAGGAATTTTTTTATTTATGATTGAATTCCTTAGTAGTGATCAGTCTGTTCACATTTTCTGTTTCTTCCTGATTCAGTATTGGAAGATTACATGTTTTGAGGAATTTGTCCATTTCTTCCAGGTTGTCCCATTTGTTAGCATATAATTGTTCACAGTACTTTGGTTTGTGGTTATCATGAAGCTAACATAAAAAACCTCATAGAAAAACCAGTTCATTTCAAGCTAATAGAACTTAACTTTGATCATCTACAAAAGCTTTTATTCCCCATACTTTATATTATTGTCATAATATAACACTTTATATACTGTGTATTTATTAACTATTGTAGTAGCTATAGTTATTTTTCATATGCTTTTCCTTTAACCTTTTCTTCTACTATAGTTAAGTGGTTAACATACCATCCTATTACAGAATTAGCTTTCTAAATAGTTACCTTTGCCAGTATGTTGTACAATTTCATATGTTTTCATGTTGCTGATTAGCATCTTTTCATTTCAGCTTAAAGAACTCCTTTCATCATTTCTTGCAAGGCAGGTCTAGCGATAATGAACTCCCTCAGCTTTTGTTTGTCTGGGCAACTCTATTTCTCCTTCATATGTAAAGGATAACTTAGCCAGAGTATTCTTGCCTGCAATTTATTTTTCCTTTCAACACTTTATGTCATCCCACTCTCTCCTAGGCTGCAGGGTTTCTGCTGAGAAATCCACTGATAGCCTCAAGGGGGTTCCTTTATGGGTTACAATCTTTTCCCTCCTGTCTGCTTTTAGGACTCTCTTTATCTTTGATTTTTTCACCATTTTATTATCAGGTGTCTTGAAGAAGGTCTTTTTCTATTGAGATAATAGGGTGATCTATCAGCTTTGTGAAATGGATGTCCAATTCTCTCCCCGGCTTTGGGACGTCCTTCACTATTATTTCTTTTAAAAAAAACGTTCTGCACCCTCCTCACCCTCTTCTCCATGTGGAATTTTGATTATTCTAATTTTTGTTATTTTTATGGAATTCCATAGATTGTGGAGGCTTTATTTACTCCTTTTTATTCTTTTTTTTTTATGCTTCTCTAATTGGGTTATTTCAAATTCCCTGTACTCTAAGTCATTTACTCTATCTTCCATTTGCTCTACACTAATATAGATGNAGATTCATAAAAATGCCTATTTTATAAACAATTATTCAGAATGTTTTGCTTTAAGTTATATACAGTCTCAGAAAAAGTCATTTTCATAGTGGAAAATCAAAATCATTGCAGCCTGCTACAAACTTCTATAGATTAACCATATGCTTATGTCAAACCAATATACAGTTCTTGGCTGGAAGCTACAAATTGCCTTTTTTTTAAGTTTATGTCTTTCACCCTCTGAAATTGTGAGGAAAGACACTAACCCTGGATTAGAAAAATATTCTTGGGAAGTTCATGCTTCCCAAGCACAGCGATATGTAGACATATTCTGTTCTGGGAAAGAATATAATAGACTTGACCAAGATAGAGCCTGCATCAACTCAGGAAACATTACCAAGCAAATACGGAAAATAGATATCAAATAACTGCTTTTTTCTCATTTAACCATCAACTTCTTCTTACCTGGCATCTTGGCATTTCCCTGTGCCTCTTTTTAAAAAATATATGGTTTATAAGCATTTGGGTATTCAGATCCTGGTGCTTTGTACAAATCAAAGGGACTAGATTCTGAACAAGATTTAAGACAAAATGAAGAGGCAATTTTAATCATGGCTACAGACAAGGTCTGATTTCATTATGCCATTAATAATTTTGAAAACTATTCCTTCAAAAATAAAATATCAGAGTATACAGTTTTTAGGTTCTAATATTTCAATAAGAAATTCTTTTATGTATTAAAATGTAAAGAAATGCTTATCTCCAAAAAAATCACCTTGTGGCTTTTCATGCAATTTGAGCCATAGGAACACATTCAGAATGAAAATGAAAAACACTCTGAATACAACAAGACCTGAAATGGGAAAGAAATCACCGTTCTGCAATCCTACACCTTCTGAAACAATGATTTATAGGTTCTCAAAGCTGATGATCTAAAGGAATCCCAATACAAAGAAGAAAATGCCTTCATGGTGGACACAATGGCTTCTATTAACAGGCACACTCTCTACCCCACCATACCCAGCGAAAAACAGACAATCCCTGGAATAGCAGTCAAAACTTGGATCTACAGAGCTGGGAGGTAGGATTCTGCTATCTTTGTACCCTCAAAGGCCTTCCAGCAAACTCCCAGTTTGAGGTCAAATGACCCATGTCTCCAGAAGAAACCCTGGAACAGGAAAATTATAAAGGAAACAAGTGTTCTTGAACAGTATGGTTTCCATTCTGCTCTCTGGAAAATAGTCTCAGTAAGGGTTGAAAGTGTTAGGTAGAAGTTAGAAAATGTAGAAGGAGGAGGGATGGGAGAGGGTCAATAGTGCCTAACAGGAAAAGCCCATAAGTAGCTTTGATTAACTGACTATAGCCAGGTATTTTTTGACAACAACAGATGACAAGAGATGGTCTGGAGCAAGATAAGGATCACAGTCAACAGACCTCCACCCCTCTTAGGAGGTCGTGCCCTCCTGTGGAAGATCCTGTACCACCTTTTCTCACCAAATCAACCTGTAACTCCCTTACCTCACCCAGCAAGCTATAAATCCTCCGGGACTAGGGCTAGCTGGCTCTCTCTGGCTTGCTCACTCTCTTACCCACGCATACTCTCTCTCTGTCTCTGTGTCTCTCTCTGTGTCTGCCTCTCTCTCTCTGGCCCTCATGCCCTCTTGCCCATATGCACTCTCTCTCTCTCTCTCTCTCTCTCTCTCTCTCTCTCTCTCTCTCTCTGTCTCTCTCTCTCTCTGTCTCTCTCTCTCTCCTCTCTCTGTCTCTCTCCCTCTCTCTCTGGCCCTCACCCTCTCTTGATGATGCATGGGCTTTCTCTCCACCCCACCCCCTTAAACCTGGCCTAGGCCCTAATCTCTCCCCAAAGAACAGATCACTAATAGGAGGAGCCTAGGCCCTTGTCCCCCACCTCGACTAGGTGCATTCTCTTCCCTGAGAATCTATCACTAATAAACCCTGATTGCATACTAATTGGTTTGCTGACCTTTGATTCTTCAAGCGCCAGCAAGAAGTATCGAGACCCCTGTAAAAAAAGGACCTCCTAATATGATCATGTTGAAATGGTGACAGAAACAGAACCCCTGCATAGCACTGTGCCTGTCTCTCACATCACAGCATCCTTGAAAATTGCAATATTCAGTTAATATTTGCTGAGTGCTTTTTGTACTTGTTTAATGAATCCATAATGTCTTTTAATTAAGAAGTGTCATTATCATATACTAACTTTGATTTTCAAGCCAAAATTTTTATGTATAAATAAAAAATACCTTTGATAAATTCCTCAGGCATATAAGCAGTGTGATTATTAAATAAGATTCAGAAGCTGAGCTCAAGACATTTTTTTTTTAAATGGGCAAGAAGTAAATTGGGATAGAGAGAAGATGGCTATAGAGGAATAGGGTTTTCTGTGACAGTAGTGGAGATACTAAAACTGCCATCAAGGTTGGGTCAGGATTAAGGAGATTACAGTGCCATTGGATTCGGGTCACTGAGGGAGGAGCCCTCAGGACCAGTGGAGTAAAAGAAATGGAGACAGTGAGGATGAGAATCACATGATCAGGAAGAGTAGGAGACACTGGGCCCAGATGTAGGTACAGGATTAGAGGAGGCCAGAGCTGTGAGGTCAGTAGAGATAAGGCTCACATAGAATGAGTCTCAGAGGCACTGAAAGTGGGGAACATAGAAACATAAGAATTAGGGTCACCACATCAGTAGATACAGGGGATTTCCTGAGTAAGTTAAGCAATAGATCCCAAGTGCAGTAGGAAAGGACACAAGGCCTGTAGGAATGGAGCTAGGGTGGTGATGGATTCTAAAGCATGATCAAACCACATGAATAAGATGTGTTTCTTAAATGAACATGAAAAATTGCACTGAGAAGTTTGGAAGTGGTCTCTCTCTCTCTGAGAGAGGATATAAATCTGAGAAAGTCTGGGAAACGGGGTGTGTTATGGATTAAATGTTAGAGTCTCCCCAAAATTCATATGTTAAATCCCTACTTCACAATGTGATTTAGAGAGGGGGGCCTTGGGAGATAATTAGGGTATGATGAGTTCATGAGGGCAGGGCCCTCATTATTAGATCAGTGACCTTATACGAAGAGTCACCAGAGGGATCGCCCTCTCCACATGCATGAGCCAAGTAAAGGCATGAGCACAGAGCAAGGCAGCCATCTGCAAGCCGTGAAGAGAGCCTTCACCAGAAACAAAATCAGCCATAACCTTGATCTTACATGCTCCAGAACTGTCAGAAATAAATTTCTGTTATCTAAATCACCCAGTGTATGGTTTTATGTTATGGCAACCTAAGCTGACTACAACAGGGTGTGTCTAAAAATTGACCCCCTTAAGTTTTGTCATGCTCTTCCTTTGAACTATAGTGAAAGACATGAAACATACAACTTTTTCCCCTTTCCCTCAAAATTACAATTCTCTTTAATCACTGTAACCCTTAACTAAGGTCTAAAACAGACATTCAGTCCTTTATGGTTGCTGTGGTGCATTAGTGGACAAGACAGTGAAGGAAAATGTGTGCACCATCACTGATACTGTCAATGATAATTACTAATACTGCTACCTTTGTAGTAGTGATGGCTGTGAGACCTTGGGCATGTAATTTAACTTCTCAGTGCTCAAGTGCCCTATCTGGAAAATGGGACATTTCTCATGCTATTGTTGGGGAGAATAAGTGAATTGCTATAGAGAAAGGATTAAGTACAGTGCTAGACACTGAATATGTATTCTCTAAGTTATTATAATGTTACAGTACCTCCACCAAGTTCCTTATTTCTTTGCTTTTGAGTAACATTTTATTACAGCCACATTGATAACTTGAGATAGTCTCATCTGTGCTTCACTGGCAGGAATATTCAACAAGGACTCTTTGGGAAATCACAGTTGAGGTCACAGTAAGCTCTAAATAAACGTGACTTTAACTTATAGCTCAAATGCATCTCAAAATATTGATGTCCTTTGGTGCTTTATCAGTAGTTACACCTATTTCAAACAGTGATCAACCAGTCAAAGGTATAGAGAAGTCACTGTCACAATTCTTTTTTTTTAATTGAGGAGTTGGGGGAGGGGAACAGTGTTGGGGAATTTGGGAAGGGGACCAGCCAAGTTGTTGTTCTTCAGTCTTAGTTGTGGAGGGGAGCAGTCGTCATCTGGCTGCCCATCGGCACTTGTGCCTCTAAGCTCGAAGTGCTGTGTTCAATCTTAGTTGCGGGTGGGCATAGCCACCATCCCATGTAGGAGTTGAACCAGCAGCCTTGTTGTTAAGAGCGCACTCTATCCACTGAGCCATCCCGGCAGCAACTCAGCTCAAGGTGCCGAGTTCAGTCTTAGTTGTGGGTGTGAGTAGCCCACCATCGCACAGGCAATCTTGTTGTTAGGAGCACATGCTCTTACCAGCTGGGCCATCCTGCCACCTGTTGCCAGTTCAGTGGCAGCTCAGCGGCAGCTCAGCTCAGGCGCAGCTCACTGGTCCATGTGGGAATCGAACCGGCGACCCTGTTGCTCAGAGCTTGCACTCTTAAGCAAACTCTTAACCAATTGAACCACTTGGCCGGCCACACTGTCACAATTGTTTAGCAGTGAAAGATAATATGTCTTAGGTTAGCCAGAAGCACTTGCATGTGAATCTGTAAGACATGCATTTGCATGGAAGTGA